TGCTACTTAACCAGCTCTGCGTGACGGTCCCACCGCCAGCGCAGGGCAGGGCAGAGCCCGCCTGCGATGCCATACTCCCTGATTGGTCATTATGGATGACACGATGAGGTACGAGCATCGCTAGCTCACAACATACTACAAAGGAGCGATGTGGACGCCGGACCATGACACATGAAGTTCATATATCACTGGATACTTACTACTAATGTAGAAGGTGCTGGCAGCTGCCAGCATGTCTTTGATCTACAGACCTGTCTGAAATTAGCGGCAGCATCAGCTATCTTCCATTCAGTACAAACTATGCAGAAGTCAAATATCCCTCTAATTACAGATCTGAAACAATAAAAATTACTACATGCCGCAGCAGACCACATGGGAAACCAGAACGGAGAGTCAAATGAGGCCAGCTGACACGCAGGAGACTTGAGGCATTAACTGCTGCAGATGTGAGAAAGACAGGGGACAGACAAGTCCTTCTTCCCAGCAAGGGTTCTCTGCAAAACTGGTTTCAATCCACCAGCCAAACTGCTGCTTATTGTTGGTTCCTATAAATTTGACACATTCTTTGTAAAAATCCCTCTTTAATGCCATGCAAAATGACACGGGTTGGCATAAACAATTTAGTCAGTGGAGTGAGCTCATTTGGCCGATTTTGCCCAAAATAAAATAGTGTATGCTCCCAAATTGCTTTGCTGGCAGGTCAGCAGTGCTGGTCCTGTATTTAAAAAGGGCAGTTACCAGCAGCAAGGTCAGTCATCTCTCTCATTATGACAGCTGGACTATGGAAGTTGATCAGCTATAATTTAATTATCCAAGTTAGATTCTCCAAGAGCATCTAATGTTAAAAATTACACATTTCTCTCCTCCTATATCCAGTCTTATTTGTTCGATTACCTAGAGCAGTACCAATACTGAAGACATCAACTGCTGAAGGAAGACACGAAAAGGATAAAGTGAAGGCTAATTTCAGGAAGATACTCTGAAGGCATTAACATGCCTGATTAAATCCCTTGCTGTTTTTATGACATCCCATACAGGAAAAGCCACTGCTGCCTTTGGTATAAAAATTATTGTAATAGATCCACAGGCTGCCCCGTTAATGACTCCATTACAAGTTCATAACAGCACTACGTACCTGGGCCACAGCAGGAGATAAAAGACATTACCAGTTTTTTTTTTTCCCCCGGTTGGGAATAACTACTGCTTACACCTTAAAATTAACTGGGGTGCTTCCATGGCAGGATCATGAGCTACTCTGAAAAGATCATTCATCATTTTCACTAGCTATTTATACAATTTCTAATTGATACTGCACTTCTCCAAATAGTCTTTAAAGTTCTGTATGGTGAAGGCTCTGGCTGTTTCTGCCAGGTTCTTCAAGACTTGAGTTAGCAGGTTTTTATTTGAATATCGTTTCTCTGGTAACGATTACACGCTCAGACAACTTTCAGCGTGCAACCTCTGTTCCCTCACATATATCTACGTTTTATTTTAGCTAAAGAAAACAAATACAAAAAATTAAGATCTGAAATATTTCCAAATTTAGGCCGTTCCCCCTTGGTTTTAGAAGCTTCTTTTTGCTTTTTGGCAGCAGGTCTTGCAAGGACAGTCATGTGATTCTCATTATGATTTTATTATTTATGAAATCATCATTCTCTGCCCTAGGGACCATGACTGGGGGTGATTGGTTTTTATAGATTTCATTAATAAAAAAGATCTTGAACCTTCTGTTCTGCAAAATGCTGAACTACTGACTCATTTTACCTCAGTAATTAGAACTTTGCAAAAAAAAAAAAGTGTCTGAAGTTTGTGCCTTTATAGTAATGCTTTTAATAGTAATTCAAGAGCTCCTTCAGAATTATGAAACACTGAAAGCAAGTTAAAATCAGTCATATCCTAAAATATGGATGCATTTCTCTGCCAATCCTACGTTATCCGCATAAGTCAGTTGTGCGAATGTGCATGGGTAACTTCATTTGGAGGAAGAGACTAAAATGTAGTCAAGCACAATTGAGTTAAAGCAGTACTTGATGAGAAACCACCAAGAGAAGACCAAATGGTGGTCACTCAGTAGGTGACCCTCCTCTCCATTATCAGGAGACTCTTGAAGCAGGGAAAAGTGGAAGCAGACTGTGTTTTTCCAAATGTAGACTAGTCCCAAACGCATAAAGCAAGTGAGATGCAAAAATCAAAGAAAAGCATCTAATGGAAAGATTATATGCCAATTCCAAAGAAATTTCATAGCAAGATCTCTGTAATCACACAAAGGACCTTCTATCTCAGGGCACCAGCGCAACTGGGCTCAGTAGTGACGGATACTGCTTTCATCTTATGGGTTGCACCAACACATCTTTTTGCAGCTGTTTTAAGCTACCTGCATCAAAAATAGCACATACACTTGGCAGCACACCTTACTACTATGATGGTGGAAAGCTCACTATGTACAAAGGAACAACAATTAGCATTACATTCTCTATCTTTACGAAGAGATTTAGAGAAAGTTGCTTCTTGCCACATAGTCAGAAAAAAAGTCATAAATTCTTAAACAACCTCTTTGTAATGAAACTGAAAAGAGATTAGCCTCATGTGCCCAAAGTGGCTTAATTTTTTTTTTACCAAAGAGGAAGGAGTAGTAAAACCATATTGCTCCCTACAAACACTGTGCCACTCGGGCTACCAAAGCTTCATCAGTGCTAACACTTCAAATCTTTCACAGATGGGAGGAACATTTCAAAGGTCTGCATTTCA